GTCAGCACCACGCCCACCCAGTGAGCAACCGGCCATCCCTATATGGGATCCGAACCCGTGGCCTTGGTGTTATCAGCACCGCACTCTCCCGAGTGAGCCACGGGCCGGCCCATGGGTTTCTGATGCTTTTTAACTGAGCCACACCCGTGGCCTTGGTGTTATCAGCACCACACTCTCCCGAGTGAGCCACGGGCCGGCCCATGGGTTTCTGATGCTTTTTAACTGAGCCACCAGCTGCCTCTGAGGGCCCCTGAGGACACAGCTGGGAATCCGCTGACTTAGGAGCTTGCCCACTGGGGTCCAGTTCTCCAGTTCTTATGCCTCGGTCCTTCCCCCCTTCCCAGCGCTCTAGGTTTAGGGGAAGCTGAGGGTGTGGGGCCCTCTCGGCTCCAGCACTGCAGGGCTCAGGGGCCAAGCCTCCCTGGCCACCTTGTCCTCTGGCCCCTCCTGCCCCGTCCTACTCCAGCAGGCCCAGCTCTGGGTTAGCAGAGGAGGTGAGCCCTGCCTCTGGCTGGGAGCGTCCTCGGGGTCAGTCTGGCAAGCTTGCGGCCAGCAGCCACGTTGGATTCTTTCTCTTCTCCTTTCTCTGGGGGACCCTGCAGCAGAGCCAGCCTCTCCTACGGCCAGACCTAGGGCAGTGAGGGGAGGGTGGGGAAGGCTGGGGTCTAGGGTCTCCCTCCTGAGCTTCACGGTGGCCAAAGTGCCTGCCACGGTCTCCTGCCCCCGGAGTCCGGGCTGGGGGCCCGGGCGGGGACGGCGTTCTGACAGTGGCTCCCCGGCAGCTGGCCCGTGCCCGCGGCTCAGCCTGCACTTCCACCTTCGGAGGAACCGGGGGGTCCACATCATCCAGTCATACATGCCATCCGTCCTCCTGGTCGCCATGTCCTGGGTCTCCTTCTGGATCAGTCAGGCCGCGGTTCCTGCCAGGGTGTCTCTAGGTACGGGGACCCTCACGTCTCCTCCGACAGGGCTGGTGGTGGTGGTGATGGGAGCTGGACCCTGGCCCTGCTACTCGTGAGCCCAGCCCCTGCCCTCCGGCCCCCCGTGCCACATGTCCTGGGGCAGAGGAGTCCGAACTTCAGCCGGGTGGGGTGGGGGCCAGCGGGCTCTCCGTCCTCTCCGTCCTCTGGGACGCAGGCCCCCTGAGGCTGGAGGCTCTGACGGTGGCACCTCCCCTGCCCCAGGCATCACCACAGTGCTGACAATGACCACGCTCATGGTCAGCGCCCGCTCCTCCCTGCCACGGGCGTCGGCCATCAAGGCACTGGACGTGTACTTCTGGATCTGCTATGTCTTCGTGTTCGCGGCCCTGGTGGAATATGCCTTCGCCCACTTCAACGCGGATTACAGGAGGAAGCAGAAGGCCAAGGTCAAGGTTGCGAAGCCAAGGGCAGAGGTGAGGCTGGTGGGCGGGTGTCCCTCCGGGCCCAGAAGCAAGGACAGACCCTGACTGCCACAGGGAGGGGGCAGCTGCCAGGGCCCTCTGCTGGCTGGTTCTGGGGGCCACTTGAGGCCCCCAGGCCCCAGGGGGACAGGTCTGGCCTCCTCAGCCCCGGCCTGATCATGGAGAGGGACATTGCTGGCCTGGGCGGGGTCCTGCATGGGAGTCTTGGTCATCGGGGGCCCTGGGAGCTGCGGCGAGCCCCTCAGCCGTGCCCCTGCCCCTGCAGATGGACGTGAGGAACGCTATCGTCCTCTTCTCCCTCTCGGCCGCCGGCGTCACCCAGGAGCTGGCTGTCTCCCGCCGGCAGTGCCGTGTTTCCGGGAACCTCATGGGCTCCTACAGGTCGGTGGAGGTGGAGACCGGGGAGACGAAGGAGCGGGGGCCCCACTCGGGGGGCCAGGGGGGCATCCGCGCTCGGTTCAAGCCCATCGATGCGGACACCATCGACATCTACGCCCGCGCCGTGTTCCCTGCGGCGTTCGCGGCCGTCAATGTCATCTACTGGGCAGCGTACACCATGTGAGCGCCGGACGCGGGGCCCTGGGAACTCCTGGGAGAAAGAGCCTCGGGGTGGTCTGTCCACAGCGAGAGGAAGCCTCGCCTCCCTGAGCCTTGACCCCAGCCTCGCACCCTAGACCAAGCAGACCAGGGAGCGCACGGGCTGCCCACAGAGCCACCTGAGCCCAAGGCCGAGCCAGGCTGGCACCAGGCTTGGGGGCTGTGAAATCTTGGGCTTAGAGAGTGATCCTGGTTTCTGGGCCTTTGCTCTGTGGGGTTGGGATGGGAGAGTGGGAGGAGGTGGGAGCTCGCAGAGGCCGTCTGTCCTGGTGAAATGGTGGAGGAGGGCATCCGTGAGGCCTCTTTGGCCCCAGCATGAAATAAAGCCTTGGCCTCGGTGGCCGGTTACACGCCTGTTGCTGCAGCCTCCTCTCCTGGCACCTGAGCCCACCCCAGCCGCCACGGGCTTGATGGGCGGGATTTGGGTGGGGACAGTCTGTGGAAGCCTGCAGGACACTTGGGGTTGAACATGCACCTTGCTCAGGGGTGAGGGGCCAGTAGGGTCAGGAGACTGTCCTCCCTCAGAGGGGAAGGAGACTGTCCTCCCTCAGAGGGGAGAGTTTCGGGAAGAAGAGCTTGCGCCAGTGACACCGACTCCATGCGTTTGGTCTCATCCGTATCACTGGGCTACGATGTGGCTGTTTCCTCAAGTGGGGCAGTGGGTCCCCGGGCCCAAGCCCTCGGGGGAGGGGTGGCGAGCTTAGGGCTGGCTGAGACAAAGCCGTATGCTTTTGCAACGCCTTCCTGAAATCCCGGAGACAGAAACTCAGACACAGGTACTCGGGGACAGAGGGGCTCTGGGCTGTGTCCCGGAAGATTAGCCATGCGGCCACATCCAGGGACAGCAGGGGAGGGCAGAGTTGCAGGGGCCTGAGGGGGCTGAGGGGAGCTCAAGCAATCTCCCCCCTCTTGGTCCCTTGGTGGGTCCCCCAGGCCAGGGTGCCACTGCAGTGCCCTCCCGGACATGGTGAGAGGAACTCAGAGGCCACCCAAGGCCCCACGAGGACCCCACAGATCTTCCCCACCTGCCATCATGGACTCAGCAGCCGAGGACCCACAGCCATCAGAGCTTTGTATGGGCAGCTCTTAACACGGGGTCCAATTTTCCATGGCACCGGGTCATTGCAGGTGGGAGAACAGCTGTTGGGGCCCCACCATCCGCTGTGGGGCCCGGCTGCCCAGAGCCCCTGGAATGCTCCTGAGTGGAGGCAAAGTCAGACAGTGTTATTAGTCTGTTTCTGTGGCTTATAACAAAATACATGGAACTGGGTGATTTATAAGAAAAGGAAATTTATTGCTTACAGTTTCAGAGGCTTGAAAGTCCAAAGTCCAGGGGACACAGCTGGTGAAGGCTTTCTTTGGTGGTGGCTTCAGTGACAGCAGGATATCACATTGTGAAAATGGTGGAGCAGAGAGACAGACTTTCTTCTCTCCTCTTTTAAAGCCCTCAGAACCACAGCCCTGACCACCATTATTAACCCATTCACTACTGCACGGTCCAACAATCCAATCACCTCTTCAAGGCTCACCTTCCAACTACCATAATAGGATTTCTTACCCTGTTAACAGTCACAGGAGGATTTAAACTTCAATGAGGTTGGGGGGTTGGGTCATCCAATCCGCAGCAGCCAGGCCACAGCCGCTGGCCCTGTGGGCCCCTCCTGGGGGCCCCCCACCCCACGCCACCGCTGGGGAGCTTGACAGTGACTGTAAACTGGAAAGGGAGCCTTGTCCACCCGCCCTCCTTACAGCCTGCCCAGCAGCCTGCAGTGGCCCCAGACAGGCTTGGCTGGCAGACAGGAAAGTCGCCACCAGGTCCCAGGTATTTCACCAGCGATACAGGACCAAGCTGCCTCCCCAAGAGCCAGGCTGCATTGAGGGCAGAGGAGGGCATCAGCCCTTCTGCCCAAACCACAGCCTGGCACTCACCACCTCTGCCTGCAGCTTGAAAACCCCTCACCTCCTAGTGGCACCTCCTCCCACCTGGGCTGCCTCTTTGGGCCCCTGCTATAAGGGATGAGGCTGTGAGGCTTGGCAGGGTCGTCCTGCAGGGGGGGATGACCGGGCTCCAGAGAGACCAGGAGCTGCAAACGAAGCAGAGTGGAGCTCGGAGCAAGGAGCAGCAGGGGGGCCAAGGAACAGCAGAGCCTGGATCTGGGTCGGCCAGGGCTTCAGGCCACTCCGAACAGCAGGGGGAGGCAGGCCCAGCTGGTCAGCTCTGTGTCTAAGGACAGTGACATCCAAGGGTGGAGACGTCCCCTGCAGGGGCCCCTTCTCCGCCTCCTCACCTTGAAACCCTCTGTTCTGGGTGCCTCCTGCAGAGTTACTCTTCCCCTCTTCCCTGGAACCCAGAGTTGCCCAGGGTGGGGACCCAAGCTCCAGATGGCACACCCTGTAGCTACTGGGCTAGGCCCAAGACTGCCCACCACCACCTCCCACCCCAGGGTCCTGCCCCAAGGATGGGCCTCCCACCAGAGAAGGCCGGGCAGGGTCAGCTCCAACTTCTGGGTCTTCGGGGAGGTGCGGGTGGGTTCAAGGTTCACCTGGACCTGGAGGCCAGCAGGCCAACTCCCTCTGCCACCAGGACACTGCCCCACCCCAGTGCCCCTGGGCCTGTCCTCTCGCGCCTGCGGCTGCCCTCCTGCCACTTCACGTCCTCACGAAGAGCTATTTAAAGCCGGCCTTTGCGACTGCCTTGGGCACCCACGCAGCCAGGCCCACCCGGCAGCAGCCTTTGCCTGATTCCTGATTCTGCAACCAGCAATCTCTCCCTCCCCCTGCAGGCTGCTATTCCTGCCCACATATTTACAGGGCCAGGAAAAGGACGGGAAGGGCTGATGCTTTTTAAACACCGACTTCTGTTCTGGTAGTGACGACAGGAGCAGATGGGAGGCCAGTGTGCAGCTGGGAGGAACCCGTTTGGGAAGGGGACGTCAGCGTTTCCTGCAATGGGGGCTCCTGGGCGGAGGGGGGCAGGGAGGCGGCCGGGCTCCAGATGTGCCTCATTCCAGCAGGGGCAAGGCTTTGGGGGTCGAAGGCTGGAGTGTGTGTCAGGAACGGAGATGTCTAAACACCTCCTGAGAGCTGTGGCCACTCTTCCCCAAGGCTGGAAGTGGAGGCTGGAGGGGCTGGGGTGTCGGGGACAGTGCCCACTTCTCTTTCCTGACCATGGCCAGGCAACTGCCCCTTCCCCTCCCCTCCGAGAGATGCATTGAGGGGAGTCCCCTGGGGTGTCCTCGTTTGAGTTCCCTCATAAGCAGAGCCTGAGACAAGGACGTGGTTGCAGGGAGTTTATGTGGGGTAGGGGGATCATTTTCTTGCAGCTACAAATTAGGCAGCTTAAAACAGCAGAAATCTGTTCTCTCGCAGCTCTGGAGGCCGGAGTCCAAAACCAAGGCATGGCAGGGCTGGTTCCTCCTGGACACTCCCCGGGAGGATCCTGCCCAGGGCCCTCCCCAGCTCCTGGCGCTGCCCGCGACCCTCGGGACTCCCTGACTGTAGACGCATCACTCCGATCTCTGCCTCTGTCGTCACGTGGCGTTTTCTGTGTCCTCTGCTGCTCTTATAGGAGCACCTGTCATTGGGTTTAGGGCCCACCCTCCTTTAGTATGACCTCATCTTAACCACAAAGACCCTATTTCCAAATAAGGTCACATTCCGAGGTTCCAGGCAGATGCGAACTCAGTGCAGAGGGTGATCCCCACGGCAGGAGCAACAGAGGAGGAGGCGAGGAGGAGGGAGGGAGACCGGCAGCAGGTCCCGGGCCTGCTGGGGAGCCCGGCAGAGCTGTGTGGCCTGTGCCTCCCCAAATCTGAAGAACTAGGGCTGGGGCATCTCTCCACCAACTCCCACCCCCTGGGCCCCCAGGGCTGCCCCGTGCCCAGGCTGAGCGGACGCCCCCAGCAAGGCTCCTGAGGACACTGGAGAAGGCACTGTGGGCCCACATGGATCTGTCCCCCATGCTGCTGCTTAAACCTGCTGCAGCCCAAGGGGCCGCAGCTCAGACCCGGGGCCCCATGCCCTGCTCACGTCTGCTCAGGCACCATCCAGGCTGAGCGGACGCCCCCAGCAAGGCTCCTGAGGACACTGGAGAAGGCACTGTGGGCCCGCACGGATCTGTCCCCCATGCTGCTGCTTAAACCTGCTGCAGCCCAAGGGGCCGCAGCTCAGACCCGAGGCCCCATGCCCTGCTCACGTCTGCTCAGGCACCACGTCAGTCTGTGGCTGACTTCACGGCATGGAAAGAGGGTCCGTGGGACAAGCCAGTCTGTCCCCATGGCATGGGACCGTCACTGACATTTATCACCTCCCTCCTCCTCCTGTCTCTTGCTGCCTGAGTTACCTCCAACTAAGTGACCCAGGCCCGGGCGTGAGGGGCAACCCAGCCACCTGCCCTGGTCAGGTGGTCGTTGCTGCAGGTGTCCGCTCTGTGCCTGCTCCAGACACTCCCCTCCTGTCCCTGCCTGAGCGCTCTCATGCTAATGGGGTCACCCCAGCAGGACAGTCACCCCTGCCTGTGCCTGCCGGGCCACCAGCACCAGGGCTCTGGAGTAGTCAGGGGATAAGGGCAGTTTCGGAGACTGCGGATGGGGAAACAATGAGAGGATTCTGATCGTTGACGGGTAAATCCATCCCGCTGTGAACTTGGGCACCAGGGTCTGACCACAGGATGGGTCCACAAGCCCAGTGGGTGACTGCAGAACGGATGTGGGCCATGTGGCGTCCACAAGCCACCACGCCAGCTGGAGGACATAGTGATGTTTTGGGTCCCTTGGTATCACTGCAACTCAGACCCTGTGTCCAAAAGTCCTGATTGTGATGTCCTTTCTGCAGGATAGTCACTCTGGTGGACGGCAGCAGGGACAGGCTTCATCGTGTGTGGCTTCATTGTGTGTGTGTGTGTGGTATGCAAGGGAGGGCAAGCCTCCCCTTCCACCGAAATAGGATTTGCAGCCCTCGGAGTGTGCCCGGCAGGGTGAAGGGGGTCGAGGGCAGCACCTGCTCCTCATTCTGGACTCAAACAATTGAGAGTGTGGAGCAGTGTGGTCGGACAGGGCGGGCTGCTGTCCCGAGCCTCTGGGCTGCCTGTCCTGGGTCCGCTCAGGCCGAGAGATCCTGGAGAGAGGTTGGGGGCTCCCCCTGGGCCAGGGAGCAGAATGGACAACCAGGCAGAGGCTGGGAAGGGTCAGCTTCGCACCAGGAGAGTGGAGGAGAGGCCACCTCTGCTGGGAGGGGCCGTTGGGCCGCCACGTCGGGAGTAAGGGCCCACAGTTTCCTGTTGGGACAGTTCTCCGTCCCGCGAGTGGCACTCACCGCCTTTCGGTCCTCCTGACTCCTGGAGGATGTTTGCA